GATCTCGGAGTCCTCTTGGGTCTCTTCTGCGGGGTCTTGTGGCCCTCTTGGGGCCCACTTGCAGCCCTCTCTGGGGTCCCTTGGGAGCCCTGGAGGCCCTCTTCGGGCCGTCTTGGAAGCCATCGATCAAACGGGGAGGGGGCGGCCTAAGTTTGCCTCCCCCCCCTGGGGCCATGAAATCGCCTCTTGGGGTGCTCGTGGGGCCCTCTTGGGGCGCTCTTGGGGCCGCCTGGGGTCTTGGGCTCCTCTTTGGCCATCTTGGGGCCATCTTGAGGCCTCAAGAGCGCATCGAAAGCAAAAAAGCGAGAAGATACAAATCATTAATTCCCCATAGGTTTTGGACGGATTTTAGCCTCTTGGGGAGTCCTGAGGGGCCTCCGAGAACACTTGGAACTGTCTTGTGGCCCTTGTCGGGCCTTTTTGTTCACTTTGGTTTGGGCGGCGCCTAGGTGCGTCTGCTTGTGAATGTGGAGCAGTTTGCTCAGTGCACGTGCACCGCACGCTTTGTGTGCAATTAGCTTTGTACCGCCGTCCCGGACATCACCTGTTGCCGCCAGGCCGTTGGCGCGGCGCGCGGCCGCCGACCAAAAAAGTATCCTTACGAGGCCAATTCTATGAACCGAAAGCCTTCGCAAGCAGCACCAACTCCAGATGTTGACGCTTCGCGTGCCCCCGCAAACCCATCCAGAACCGAGTCCCAGGCGAGCTGTCTTGAGCAGGGAAAGAGAGCACGCAGTGGAGTAAGGGGGGCAGCCGTCGAATCGCAGATCGGGATCAGACCGATCAGTCCGCCGAGTCAGCCATGAAGCCAAGCGGGTCAGCCCGAGCAGCCCCCAAGAGTGGCCAACCTCTGGGTCCGCAGCCATTTTGGCTCAAGCCATTTTGGCTCAAAAAAGCTGGTCCCAAGTAGGGCCAAGCGTCTTGGGAGACTGCCACGCGATCCGTCTGAGATGTGCCGAAGACCAAGCCTCCTAGCCTCAAGGCGAAGTTCGCCCAGGTGGACAAGGATGGCAGCGGCAAGATCAGCCTGGACGAGTTCAAGGCGCTCCTCAAGCAAGGGGACCCAAACATCTCCGAATCGTCCGTGATGACCGTCTGGAAGAAGTGTGACAAGGACGGCAGTGGAAGCATCAGCTCAAGCGAGCTCGCAGACTACCTGAGCAGCGGCGACAAGTCCGACTTCAAACACCCCGGCATGTCCCCTGCGTGCAAGACGTTATGCGACGTCTTCGCGAGCCTGACGCTGCAGAGCGAGGCCGGGAAGGAGGCCCGCGCTCACGCCTTCACGGCTTGCGACCCCAACGGCAATGGGTACGTGTCCCTCGCCGAGGTTGATGGCTGGATCCAGAAGGTCTTGATAACCTACTTCGCGCAGGGCGAATGCGACGGAGATCCCAAGGAGGAGGGGACGCGCATCTGGAAATGCTTCCGGCCTTCCTACATCCGCGCCCACACAGATGCGAAGGACGTGGCAGAATCGAAGACGTCTCACAGCGACGACTACGTGACAGCGAAGGAGTTCCGCGTCCTCTGCACTTACCTCATCCTGTACGCGGCGATGTACGACGCCTTCGCCCTCATCGACGGCGGTGGTGGCACCGTCGAGGACAAGTCTGGTGACGATCGCAGGATGACGGCGGAGGAGTGGGCGGCAGGCTACAAGAAGGTGGCGGACCATGGCTTCATCGGCCTCAAGAAGGCGGCTGCAATGGACGCCGCGGGCGCGGCGGACGTGTTCAAGAAGATGAACAGCGGCAGGGACGCCGATGGCAAAGAGTACGGCAACGACAACGTTGTGATGCTGGCAGAGTTCTGCGCGTATGTTGAGGCAGAAGAGATTTCGGCGGGGACGGCGTGGGGAAAAGTCCTGGGCCTGTGAGGCAGCACCGAGGCAAGGGGCAGATGGCTCGATGGCAGAGTGTGGGCGCCCTGCCCTTCCCTCTTTCCTCTCGGCGCCCGGTTGAGCCGACCCGCTTCTGATAACAAGGGGCGGCCAGCGCGTTTCATGCAGCACGCGTTCTATGGCTTCTGTGCTTGCGGATCAACGCAGTCCGTTTGGCTACGTGCGCATCCGCAGGTTCCGTCCAGTCGTGAAACAACATATTGACAGACCTGGGTCTTTCGGGGAGCCCCGTGGAGCCATGTTGTGGCGCTCGTGGGGCCATTCCGGGAGCGTTTGAGGCAATCTTCTCCTCAGGCCCTCTCGGGGAGCTTCCTGGGCAAACCCTGGAGATTATCAATCGAAGGGAGAGGGCTCCCGAATTAGCGCCCCTTGTCGAGGCAAGTCGCCTCCTGGGCCCTCTTGGGCCGTTCTTTGGTTGATCTTGTAGCAGCATGGGGTTGTCGTGGGGCCCCATCTGAGCGCCTCTTGGGGCTCTCTTGGACCATCTCGAGGTCACCTTGGAGTTCTGGGGCCCCAGAGCCAATCGGAAGCGAATGCGCGATAACGCAAGAACCACACGGATCGTTGTGGATCTCGGAGTTGGGTTCTCGGGCGTCCGCAGCCACCTCGAGCCGTTTGGGGGCCGTTTTGGCGCCTCCTGGAGGCATGCTGGAGACCACTTGGGCCACCTTGGAGGCAATCGTGGGCCACCCGGGGCCACCTTGGAGGTGTCTGGGGCCACCCTGAGCGCTCCGACAGCTTGCGGGGAGGCCCGTCCAGGCCCAGGGGCAGGAGCGGGCGCAGGGGTAAACCGCTTGAACCACTGGGAGTACACGAGAAGCCACGTCCGCGCAGGAGGCTGGTGGGATTCTGGCGGGTGGCCACGGTCGCTCCCAACTTCTTAGACGTTGCCAGAGGTGTTTTTGAATTTTCTGTGCAGAGAGGGCTGGACCGACTTCGCTTATTTCTTTCGGGTCCTGGGGTGGTCCTTGCGGTTCCGTGGGGGCTCTCATCGGGTCTCTTCGAGGGTCCTAGGCATTGTTTATTCTGTTTTTTTGTGTGCAAGGCTTTGTGTTCAGCATTGCGTTGCGTTGCTTGGTTTACATCGCCTGGGTATGCATTGCTCTGTATTCGTTGCGTTGCTTTGCGAGTTATTGCTTTGCGCCTCTTTGAGTTGTCGTGATTTCCATTGTATTGCGTTGCGCGGCTTTGCGCTACTCTGCGATACTCGACATTGCTTTGCGCTTCCTCCCCGTTCCCTCCAGGCCGCCTCATCCCTCACCACTCCATCCAAATTCCTTCCTCCTTCTTTCCTGCACCCTCCTTCCTTCTTCAGCCTCTCCCCTTCCTCCTTCCATGCATCTTTCCACTTCCCGCCCCTTCCTCTCTCCCTCCCTCGTCCATTCTCCGTCCTCCCTCCCTCCGTCTTTCCTCCCGCCTGCCTCCCTCCTCCCCTCGCCCCTTCCTCCCTCCCCCCCCCCTTCCTCTCTCCGTCATCTCTTCTGCCATTCCCAGTTCTCCCCCCCCCCTTGGCTGGGCCAGCCACTTTTAACATCCGCCGATATGATTTTTGTCCCATCCGCGGCCCCGGAGGTTCCGGCCCATTTCCCCCAGGGGTCGCCTCCAGGGGCCCGAAGTCGGAGGAGGAGGAGGAGGAGGATGGGGGCGACGAAAGGGTCAGTCCTACAAGGGAACCGACGGCGGCCGCAGCGACGAGCCGAGGGGACCGCGGCCCTCGAGGGCCGAACTCTGGGGAAAAGACCCGCCGCTGGTTGAGCTAAAACCATGTCGTCGGGGATGTGGCCCCCCTGCCCGGCCATTCACTACCTCACGATCACCAGACACCCCCAAGACCAAATTATTCAAATGAGTTTGGGTGTTTGGACTTTTCGTAGGCTGCGCAGACGCGTTGGGGCGCTCGGCGTCGACGAGCACGCGCGCGATTGTCGAGCTCGTGTGACTTGCATGTCGGTGCGCTGCTGTCACGAGCACGGCGGAGTAGTGCATTTTCCTAGCTCCAGCTTGATCGCGGGGGGCAGTCATGACACAGTTTTGTATGGGGCGGCGCCCCCCCCCCCACATCTGAAATTCAGATTGGTCCTGTCTGAAATTCAGATTGCCCCTGTCTGAAATTCAGATTGCCCCCCCTGGGGGCTCGGGCGCGGCGTTCTGCCAGAGACTTCCGCACTCAAGTATTCAGATTGGCCCGGTCTGATATTCAGATTGGCCCGGTCTGAATTTCAGATCGTTTTGGTCTGCATTTCAGACGTGGTGGCTCCGCGTGGAAGAATTCTTCGGTTTGGTGCCGCTGCCCGCGTGACGAACGTGGTCGACGTTTGCTCTCTTGCGTGCACTTCTGTTAGGGTAGCTGGCCCTCGAAGCCCCGATGTTCCCTTGGACGTCGCGCTCCTTGCGAATGCGAAACATGAAAAGTATATGTTTCATGGTTGGGGGTGTCTGGTGATGACCACGTAGTCTTAGTCCATGTCGATCCGATCGATCCGATGCGACATCGATTCTGGCTGGTCCGATCCGGTTCGATATTCTGGAGTTCCGGCGATCCGTTGCGGCCCGATGCTTGCATGGCGCTGCTGTGCATCCTGGCGCGGCCGATCCGATTCGATTCCGATTCCGTGCCGATGCAGCCCGATCCGAAGGAAATGTCAAATTCGACCCGATTTCCCGATTCGATGTTGACCTTCAGAGGAGGAACGCAAACCACCATCAACGAGAATCCATGCGTGGGGAGACGATCCCTGGGCGGTGGCATGACCGAGCGTCGCTCCAATACAAGGCGACGCGCTCAGGCGTGCCACCGCCCAGGGGCCTGTCCCTCTCCGACGGGTTTTCAGTGACGGTGGTACAGGTCTATGTTCCTCCCTTTTGGATTGCGCCTGTCGGACGGGGCTGGGACGAGCCTAAATCCGTTCCAGAGCGTTCTGGAACGCTCTGAAAAGGCTGCGGCGCCCGAGACATCCTCCAGAGCCGCCGGGCCTCAGAGATTCTCGGTGTATCCACGCCCGATGCTATCCTCGCCCTGGCCTCGTCTTATCCTGCCCGTGCCCGCGTCCGCGGACTCCCCCCCGCTTGCGGGGCGCCCCCTCCCCCCCCCCCAGAGGCCCGCCTCGCCGAAGCCCGCCTCCCCGAGGCCGCCCGCCTCCCCGAGGTCGCGCGCCCCGTCCTCTCAGGGGAAAGGAAGGGGGGGGCATTCAGGCGAAGAGGGCCGTGCACGTGCACCGATCCTGGCGCCCGGCCCATCCTGGTCCCAGGATCAGTGCACGTGCCTTCCTGGCCGAAGCAGGAGCAAAACAGGAGGGCGTGTGCACCGTTCCTGGGCGCAGGGTGGGCCCGGTCACAATCGGTGCGTGTGTGTGTGTGTGCGTGTGAGTGAGTGTGAGTGTGTGAGTGTGCAGTGACCTCTTTCCTTTGTGAGGGGGCGAGAAGCCACGAGGAGGACGGGGCGAAGAGGAGCAATGAGCCCACAGACATCCGGCGCTTCGGGCAGACATCGGGACGTTTTTTTGTTCAACGTGCTTTGTCTCTCGGGGGTCGCCCCCCCTCCTTCCCTCGCGCGGCCGCCCTCGTTTTCGTTCCTTCCTCTTGCACGCCGGACACGTCGCCTTTAGGTTGCCCCGACCAGCCCCGCGCTGGTGCTGACTTCCTCTGCCTCGCCGCCGACGGAAAAAAGCGTGTGCATTGTCCTCTTTCCTCTGTGTGAGGGGGAGAGGAGCCACGAGGAGGACGGGGCGAGGAGGAGCCACGAGCCCAAACGTCCGTCGCCTCGAGCAAAAATCGGGACGTTCCCTTTGTTTTGCCACGTTTTCGTTCTCTCGGGGGCTTTGCAGGGCCTCGGGACCGTGCAAAAATTTCGCACCTGGGCCGGAAGACCGGTTCTGGGGAAGTGGTCGAGAGGTCGGGGGCCCGTGTCTCAACAATAATCGAGATGCCATAGGTCTGGGAGGTAGGACGAGGAGATAGAAGGAGGAGATGGGAGGAGGAGGAGGAGGAGGAGGAGGAGGAGGAGGAGGAGGAGGAGGAGGAGGAGGGTGAGAGCAGCAGGAGGAGGAGGGCACTGACGACGGGGAGGGCGTGGGCGCGACGGATGTGGCGGAGGAGGGCGAGGAGGAGGAGGGGGGGGGGGCAGGAGGTGCGTGAGAAGTTGGGGCATGGGGAGCAAGAGCGGACTGGAAGACAGAAGTGAGCGGCTGAGTGAAGACGGCACTCATGTGAGTCGCTTCCCTTGGCAGAGCGGGTGGCCCCGTCGAGGCCCGCTCTGGGATGCCCCGATTGTCTTCTCGCCGCCAGCGGCCCTGTCCAGGGGATTTGCGAAACTGATTGCAACGTCTTTTCCAAGCGATCGGTGACGGCTTCAGGGAGGTGTAGGAAGCAGCCTTGTATGTCTGGGTCGTGGCGCGTCGACTCGCGTAAGGGTCGACTCCTGGTTGACAGGAAACAAAAAATGTGACGAAGATCGACAGCTGTTCATGTCCAATTGGAACAGGAATCGCTGTCGATATCGTCGCGGACGGTGTTCGCTGCAATGAACAAGTCACGTGCCCAAGAGCAGCCGCCGTCGGATTCGGATATTATTCGCTGTTGGGTATTGTGCCGTTTTTGTCAAGTATCAATACCGGGCGGCCCAACTGAGGACGATGGGCCTCAAACGAGGTAAGTCGAGCTTGTGGTCACTTCCTGTCCTCAGGGCACCACCCCTCAGGGCACCACCCCTCAGGGCGTACCACCACCACCACCACCACCACCACCACCACCACCACCACCACCACTACCACCACCGCCGCCAGGGAGGAAGAAGCGTACCACCACCACCACCGCCGCCGCCACCACCACCACCACCACCACCGCCACCCCCACCACCACCACCACATGGGAGGATTCAGGATGAGCTGGCGTGCGGCATGCGGGATCGGGGATGCGGGCGTGCACGATGCCCCCCGAGACCGCCCGAAACGATATGCACACGACCACCACCCCCGATCACTCTCTGCCTCAATTTTTCAGGTGGTGGTGGTAGTGGTGGCGGTGCGTTTCCTCCTCCCTGCGAGAAGAGCGTTGGCCGGCTCTCCGGGCAGCGGCCGGGCGGCGCTGCGGGCCGCCCGTGGCGCCAGGGCCGCCGGCGACCGGGTGCAGATGGAGTGCCCGAAGTGTGGCTATGCCCGCGCGGGTCAGCGCCACCTCCGCCCCCCGCCGAGGGAGGGCCGAAGGTCGCCGTGGGTCAGAGGAGGAACATCGGCGGCGAGCCCAGGCGGCCATCTTGGGCCAAGATGGGCCATCTTGGGCTCAAGATGGGCCATCTTGGTTCATCTTGGGGCGCTTGGGCGCTCCCGAAGGCCCCCGTGGGACATCATCTTGGTAAATGTTGGGCCCCTCCAGAGGGCCTCTTGAGCCCTTCTTGGGCTCTCTTGAGTCGAACATCGGCGGCGAGCGAGGGGGGCAAATGAGAAGGAGAAGACCTTCTCATGAGGTGGCGGGGCTTCTCAGAGGCCCCCGCGCCTTCCGAGAAGAGTCCCGTGTCTTTGGGGAGGTCTCAGGAAACTTCCCGGGAGGTTGGATGTCTTCCGAGCCTTCTGGGGAGGCCCGCCCCCTCTCATTTCCCCCCCGGGCGCGCCGCCGAAAAAGGCGCCGATACCTTTACCTTTCGCTCGTTTTCGCCTCCTGGGGCCTCCCGGGAGGCCCTCGTCGCCACGTCCAGATTCGCATCGACATGATCGGGCCGCGGCACAGGAGAGGTCTGGGGAGTAGCGGTATCGGTGCGTTTTGTTTGTCCAGGAGGCCGTTTTCTTTCCTTGGCGACAACGGCCGTGACCATGGGGATGGGGAGGGGGCAAGTTAGGTGCGCTCGCGTCAACATTTGACATCCTACCCCTCCCTCCCATCCCTTACCATGGCGCTGATTTTCTCTTTCCGCGGACGCGTGTCGTAGCAGACCTGTGGCTCCGCGCGCGTGTGCGTAGTGGGTGGTGGTGCGCGTGCGTGCGTGCGTGTGTGCGTGGTTGTGGTTGTTGTGGTGGTGGTGTGTATGTGTGTGTGTGTGTGCGTGTGTGCGCGTGTGCTGTGGTGTGACGTGGTGTGGCGTCTTGGTGGTTTGGTGGTGGGCCAGGTGCGTACGTGCGTGATGGCGGTGGTGGTGGTGGTGGCGGTGGTGGTGTGTGTGTGTGTGTGTGTCTGTGTGTGTGCGTGTGTGTGTGTGTGTGTGTGTGTGTGCGTGCGTGTATGTGTGTGTGTGCGTGCGTGCGTGCGTGCGTGCGTGCGTGCGTGCGTGCGTGCGTGTCTGTGTGTGCGCGCGTGTGATGTGGTGTGACGCGGTGTAGCGTGGTGGTGGTGGGTGGGGTAGTGCGGTGGTGGTGGCGGTGCGCGGTGGTGGTGCGCGTGCGTGCGTGCGTGCGTTGGTGGGTGGAAGTGGCGGTGGGTGTGCGTGCGGCGGGGCGGGGCGTGGTGCGGCGCGGTGGTGGCGGGCGGATGGGCGCGCGAGAAAGAGGCCCGCGCTGGGGCGAGAACGCCATCCTGAACGACGGAGGCAAAACACCGATCCGAAAATGAGGCCCACGCTGCAGCGGGAGCACGATCCGGAACGATTCGGGAGCAGAAATGAGGCCGGCGCCTCAGCGAGAGCAGCACTTTGAAAAACAACGCAGGCGAAAACCCAACTCCGGGGAATCGTGTGTGTAAAGAAACAGTACGCGGGGGGGGGCGAATACGCAAAAGACGTCATCAGGGGAAGAGGGAGAGTAGTATTCGTATTGAGTAATTGTGGAGGAGGACAGTCACGTCACGATTCGTGCTGGCGCCGTCTGGGAATGCTTCAGACTGGCTCATTCCGAGGGCGCTGGCGCGAATCGTGACGTGAACAGGGAGGTCGGGGGGGGGCCGGGGCCGGTTCAAGACATCCAGCATCTCGATTCTTTCGAGACACGTGCCCCTGACCGCTCGACCACTTTCTCAGGACCGGCTTTTCATCCCAAGTCGCTTTTGACGGTCCCGAAGTTTGGTGAGGGTCCCGAGAGGCCGAACAAAAAACGGACAGCTCGCCCCTTGGCCCCCCGCCAGCCCCACGCCAAGGGGCGAGCATATATACGGGCGCAGCACCGCGCTGGATGCGATACATTCGGCTGGGCCAGGCAGGGGAAGACCCACCACTGCATCCAATGTCGAAGGTGATCTATATTCCAACGCTGTGGCTGCATGATGCGCCCCGAACCCCAGACCAACGAATTGAGCCTCAGCTCAATGTCGAACGTGATCCATACTCCAACGCTGTGGCTGCATGATGCACCCCGAACCCCAAACCAACGAATCCGCCGATCACGTCTGACCGCCCGTGCATTGCACATGGTGCTGCTTGGTTACGTCTGGAAAGTATCCTCACCGCCCTGGCTTACAACTGCCAGCGAAATATCCTCACACCCCTCGCTCAAAGCTGCCAGCGAAATATCCTCCCCCCATGGCCAGAAATTGCCAGCGAAATATTCTCACCCCCTGGCCAACTGCCGGCGAGATATCCTCAACCCTTTGACTTAAACCTGCCAGCGAAATATCCTAACCCCCTGGCCTGAAATTGCCAGCGAGATATCCTCACACCCTTCGATGAAAGCTGCCAGCAAAATATCCGGTCCCCCTGCCCAAAAACTGCCAGCGAAATATCCTCACACCCCTCGCTTAAAACTGCCAGCGAAATATCCTCACCCCCTTCGCGTAAAACTGCCAGCGAAATATCCGGTCCCCCTGGCCTACAACTGCCAGCGAAATATCTGCACCCCCTGGCTTAGAAGTGCCAGCAAAATATTCTCACTCCCTGAGTTAGAATTGCGAGCGAAATATCCTCAACCCTTTGATTTAAAGTGCCAGCGAAGTATCCTCACCCCCTGGCTTAGAACTGCCAGCCCAAAATCCTCATCCCCTGGGTTAGAATTGCCAGCGAAATCTCCTCACACCCCTTGCTGAAGACTGACAGCGAAATATCATCAACCCCCCGGCCTAGCACTGCCAGCGAAATCTCCTCACCCCCTGCCCAAAAATTGCCAGCGAAATATCCTCACACTCCTCGCTTAAGATTTCCCGCGAAATATCCTCACCCCCTGGCCTGAAACTGCCAACGAGATATCCTCAACCCCCGGACTTACAACTGCCAGCGAAATATCCTCACACCCTTCGCTTAAAACTGCCAGCGAAATATCCGGTCCCCCTGGCCTACGCTGCCAGCGAAATATCCTCACCCTCTAGCCTAAAGTTGCCAGCGAGATATCTGCAACCCCCTGATTTCAAACTGCCAGCGACATATCCTCAACCCCCTGACTTACAACTGCCAGCGACATATCCTCACTCCTGGAAATAAAACTGCCATCTAACGGCCTTGGTGATTCAGTTCAGTTCTATCAGTTCTGTCTACTTCCCGAAATCAAATTACGGGCTGCGCCTGTAAACTATAACAAAAACCTCTTCCACGATTTTTCCGAGACGCCGGATGTCTGGGGTCGCGGGCGTTATCGCGAATAACGAAAAAGGCGCTCCAGTGGAGGGCCCTTGGGGGGTCCCTGGTTGGAAACGGGCGGGCTATGGGTGCGTGTTGTCGAATGGGGTCCCGCTCGAACGGGAGCCTCCCCTGGGGTCCGACAGCCCGCGCCCATACCCATAGGCAGTCCTTCTCAATCTGACCCCCCTGTGGATATGGCTGTGTGTGTGCGTGTGTTGTCGGGCAACGAGATCTATACATATCCACTGACCCCTGGCCAGGCCCTTCCTAGGCTCAGAAGCATTTATATACGCCCCCCTGGTCAAGCCAGGAGGGCGTGGCGTACCGCTGCTGGGTCCAGAAAGGGCCTGGCCAGGGAGCAGTGCATATGTACGGCTTTCGTCGCCCTACCTATACGACCACCCTTTGGGTGATATTATCGTATTATTATTATTGTTATTATTATTTATTACTATTATTATTATTCATATTATTAATATTATTATTAATGTTGCTAGTATTAATATGAGTAGTATGAAGGAGGTGAGGGGGGGAGGAAGAAACAACGTCTCACTCAATCGATCTCACTATCGATCGCACTATCGATCTCACTCGATCGATATCACCATCGTTCCCACAATCGATCTCACTCGATCGATCTCACTCGATCGATCTCACTATCGATCTCATAAGCGATTTCGTTATCGGTCTCACGATCGATCTCACTATCGATCGATCTCTCTATCGATCTGACTATAGATCCCACAATCGATTTCACTATCGACCCCACAATCGATTTCACTATCGATCTCACTCGATCGATCCCACTATCGATCTCACTATCGATTCCACAGTCGATCTCACAATCGATCTCACTATCGATCTCACAATCGATCTCACTATCGATCTCCCGATCGATCTCACAAGCGGGAGACCGGCGGGACACCGGCGGGACACCGCGGGCCACCGCTTGCCGGAGGGAGAATCATTTGGTCCGGCCGGAACCCAGCCACAAGCGGGACACCGGCGGGACACCGTGGGCCACCGCTTGCCGGAGGGAGAATCATTTGGTCCGGCCGCGCCTCAGCCACAAGAGACTATCCTCTCGCCCGCACACGCAGCTTCGCCTCGCCCGCACGCACGGCACGCACGAACACGAAACCGAAACCGATTTCCCGGTGGGGGCCTCTCCGTTCCACTTCGATCTCACCCCCTCACCTCCGATGCTGTTCGTTCGTCATGTGCGGTCTCCCGCCGTTATCGGCCCCTCTCTCTCGGGGCCCCTCCTCGGCGATATCCCGGGACCGTCGGCTCAAGACGAGGAGCTGGCCCCGGGGGAGGCCCTGGGCTCCAGGGCCCGTGTCGCTCGAGGCCCCACTGCTGCCATGCCCAGGGAGGGGGCGGGACGAACGGGGAAGGCTCCCCTCCCTCCTCCTCGAGCCTCGAGGGGGAGCTTGCTCTTTTGCCCCCTAGGCCCCTGACTATGTCCGTCACGGGTAAGTTGGTAACGGTAATCAGCGATCGCACGGGGGAGGGGGCCCCCCATGTTCGCAAGCACGCGGTGGTGTTCTCAGGCTATTGTGGTGGTCATGCGCACCTTGCGGTGTTCACAGGCACGATGTGCTCGCGGGCCATTGGTGTTCACAGGCATACTTTGGTAGCATCGCTTGCATACTGCGGTGCTCACTGGCATGTTGTGGCATTG